AAAAAATCTTTTATACGCCGCCACAATTCAAAGTCTACTGTTTAACAGGCGTCCCAGTATATGTTACAATGTTCGTTATACATAACACTCGAAATAGCACCGTTTGAATTATTGTAACTATCGAAGATTTAAAAGGTGGGATTGGCTCCTGAAATACAGGATAACTTAGTTTGGGAGTAAAGGCTCGACTAAATCTGTATTTAAAAGTGTTCATTTGAAGTATTTAACAGTTACTTATGTAATGCGTTATGAAATGGGATTTATTGAAAGCTGACTTTGTGGTTCAAACATATTTTTTGAATATTGAGTATTACAGAACCTAATGAACGGCACAATGTGCCACTGAATCGCATATTTATAAAAACAACTCGAAGATAACTGAGTCCAAAGTGGTAATGTCACCTTTACTTACAGAATTCTCTTGGTGTACAGAAATGTGGTGCCCAGTAATAAAAACACAATTCGTAACATATATAAACCAATTTAGAACCACAAACATGCATAGAAGAAAAGAATAAAATCAGAAATTATTATTTCTAAAGAAACTATCATATCCATCCGAATAGTTGAAACTCTCACAGGACTCTCGGTATCCTATTAAGGTTCCATTCAAAGAAATACGTCCGTCGCAGGCTCCCTTTTCCACGAAGGGTTGTAGACATTTAGAATTTACGGATTTCGACGGACAAATTCTCTTACATACAAATTTTCCAGGGACGATATCCATTTCAGCTGAATCATTTATTAACAGGACAACGCAACTATTACTTGGTTCTTTTGTCTTATTAAGACCGAGTTCTTTATTAGAAAAGTAAAACATAAAGAGAGTTAAATAAAAAAGTGCGAGTTGGACTTGGGCACGAAGGGTTCCGTACCGTTATCTACAAAAACGATAAAAAAAATTATGTCTGTTGTATGGGAGCCCCACTTAAATACTTTTTTATTCTGTTTTTAGTATTTGTTGTTATAGCGGCAACAGAAATAGATTATCTGTGAAAATTTCAACTATCTTACTATAGCCTAGTGACAGACGGGCAGACGGACTGCGGAGTGTTAGTAATAGGGTCCCGTTTTACCCTTTGGGTACGGAACCCTAAAAATGATATGCTTAACAAACTGGCAGTCTTAATTACCGCATCGAGATGGCAGTACGTGAAAGCAGTAATGCCCACTGACTCCACACCGCCTACGATTAGTAAGTTGCACAGATAAATCGTTATATTGGTGACGTCACAACGAGTGCGTGGACCGTTTCAATATATATTACCCGGTCGTCTGCAGGTATTAGTAAAGAGTAAAGTAACAGACAACGTTTATGTCCACTGCAGGGCAAAGACCTCCTCTGTAAACCAGAAGTTATCCCCACCGCGGATTGGCGGACTTGACATATGTTCGAAACATTTTTTTGTTATTATTTCGAAAACATGAAGGTTTCCTCGCAATGTTTTGCTTTATCGCTGAGCACGTGACAATGCAACACTTGAAATTAACAATTTCATTGGTGCCAGTATGTTGAATTAAAGTTGAGCGACCGGAGACTGAGCTAACACGTCTGCAGGTACCAGCGGCATTATCTTCCGATAGGTACGCGCCGGTGACAAACAAGAAGCGTGCCCAACGTTTATGCGGCGTCACGCCCCTCAACAGAAACACTTCGATTTACTTTTTCTTCTTGAGCTTTTTCCGCTAACGTCTCTCTCGCGCTCGATTTGCGATGGCAGCGTCCCAGTAAATATTCATTCCGTTTCCCTTTGCAACGGATCAAATTGCTCGCGATGAACAATCTCTCAAATGACGGCGCCGTCAGCGTGCTAAATTAATAATATTTCCTAAGTGTCGACAGTTTGTAGTTTGTCTATGGATCCATTAACGCATCTGAAGGGAAAACCGTAGTGGAGTTGGTATAGCTTTCCTCTTTCTGCGGAAAAAGCGAGGCGACGCGCCGTACGAAAGTAGGACGTTGTAAGCTCTCCAAATTTATTATTTAAAGATATTGAACATTTCAACGATACGGGCGTTGGAAATATCGAGGATTCGGAAGATGCGACATTTTCATTTTCGAAGTGTTCTCCGGCGTTTCGTTCATTTCCTTTAACGATTCAATAAGGCGATAAGGGTCTGCAAACGTCAAACCAATTTACGAGGGATTCCGCCGGTCCAGCGGCGGGCACTCAAATATGTGCTTACAGCGATTAGAATATATCTACAACTGTGCAACTTTGATCCAATCTTAATTCCTTATTGTTGCGTGACAGTTGCGTCTCGTCCCAGACGCACCGTGAACTCATAAAATATCTAGCTTCAAATGCTAAAAAACCAATGTAGATAAAAGTCGTTAAGATTTTCGTCGGTGTGCCAATCAGCCGTTTAGCTTAGTGGCTAAAGCGTCAGGCCGCGGATTCCGAAGACGTGGGTTCGATTGCCATTACAATCTTTTCGTACTTTTTCTACAAATTTTAATCATAAAATATGAATGTAAAAATAGTATTTTTGCACGTTATCATTGCGCCTAGCTTTTAGCTAGGCTGTAGCACGACTGTGTACGATCTGCTTTACGGCCTTGCGCTTGGGAACTGCAAATGTATGGATATTTTTTATTATGTTAAAAGGATCACCTGATGTTAAGTGATTACTATGGACGTCTACTGCACGTATGGAATAATACTTCGACTTCTGTGGCAGCGGTATTTACCCAGACGATGCCTGCCTATTCGTGCAACAGACGAAGATGCATGGCCTTACCAAGGAGTCAGATGAACCACCCAGCCGTTTGCCAGTTTTTCTTATAAAAACATCCAAAGCTTAACGTGAAAACCAAATTGAAATGTAGACAGCACTTTCACGGTACGAAGACGGCGCTAGAAGGGGGACCGGTGCGTAATGGAAGATCGAATATCGTATTTGTTCGTGTGGTCGTTAAATGTACGTTCGCGCTTGTTTGTAAAGAAAACACAACCCTCGAAGAAGCACGGGGTCGCTGGCGGTGAACCACGAAACCTTAGCACTACGCCGGCACCGACAGAAATATCATAATAGCTTTCGTGTGTATTACATTTGCATAATTAACTATAAGTGAACATCGAATTATCAACGGAATATCTTGTTATCTTTCATCTAAATTATCATTTTTATGCTCAGGTTTAATTTACTATTAATTATTTTTTAACGGTATTTGTATTTGTCATCATTTACCCTGCCTAACTAATAATTTCGCGTCAAACAACATGCCCTATTGTTTTATGTTAAAATAAAATATTATCATAATTTAACAATAATTTATAGTTTTATTTCAATAATAATAAGTTATGTCATCGTTCCATATTTCATATACGTATGGGACAATCAGACCTCCAATTCCGTGGGTTCTGGCTAGCCCACCGGTTCTGCGTCAGATGAATAGTCTCGGGACTGAAAGCAAAACATCGGTTAATAAAAGATACAAGATACAAGACAATCAGATAAATCACAAACGACGCGTGGTCGTGAAGAATACTAACAAATTTTACGCATTAAAAAATTCAGCCAATTTAAAAAAAATATATAATCCTATTTACGCGGATACGTTTAAACCATTTATACGATTTTATTGCGTTTAATCTGCTTTATAACCCACTCTACATTACGGGTACTACATATGTAGCATCCATTACATTGTGTCTTTTGTTCAATCTACAGATGGATAAACAAATCATTGCGATATTTGAGAATATCTGATAACCAAAGGTGAGATTATTTTAAGTATTTCTGTTACACGGCCGTGGCATTTCTAGGATTAAAATGTTCGAGTCAGGTTGATGCAGCATACCTAAAAACCGTTGGAGCGTGAACTAAAGTCACGCATCACAGATTTCTTGTACACACTCTGCGCCTTACTAGCGCCCCCTCCGCCGTGGAGGGCCCAAAACTTGGCCAACTTAAGGCCTCATTAATAAATTCCGGCTTCTCGTGCGACTTATCTCGTCTGCTCTTTTAGCGTCTATCACAAGTTCCGTGCAAGTGGAATACCGAATATACATTGCTCGTTACCGACTGCTATGTAACTTTTACCTCGCTTATACATTTGTACGTTGTTTACGTGTTTCGATGACATTTCAACTAATGTATAGCACTATTTTGTGTACGAATTGAAATAATCTCAACGATGCGTACTATGTTTTCTGTGTAACTTAATATTCAATACGTTATGTTTTACTGTTTAGAAAAATAAATCATGCTTATAAATGCTGCATTCGAAGCTCTAAAAAATTACGGAACACCTCCAAAAGAAAATAGGCCACCTTTCGGCCGCAATTCCTTTTTAGTACTAACACTCCGGCGTATACATGTTTTGTATTCGATATTCTTTACGATTTCACATCTGGCACGGGATTTAAATATATCACCGTCGCTCAATTCCTGTAACGATACGATTAAAGATTGGGCATAAATCAATGTTTATGTTGGTATTCTAATAATTCCCTTATTGCCCCCTTTGTTGGTGATACGTGGGAGTGTATTTTATCTCAGACGTTGGAGTAATTACCCAGAGCCGGGCAGTTTTATGGGTCGATTTCTTTGGGGGCCGCTGCATGCTTCGCCCTCAGCCTAGATTAGTGGAATACTGTAGGCTTTGCATACGCGGTGTCAAGATCACGTCGTAGCGGCCGTAGCGCCGCACGGCCGCGGGTGACAACCCCCCCGCCCCACCCTTCCACCCTACACCCTCGCCATCGAAGCGCGCACCACGCATGCTCCAATTATAATCCGCTTAGGGATGTCTTTTGTCGATTAAAATTTACATTATCTCGGAAAAGAATCACTCGCAGATTTCCAAATGTAATCGCTGAAACGTTTCCCGACGAATCGCTTGCGCGGGCGGAATCCTTGACGGCGCTCGGTGAAGGGTAGTTTTAAAATGTCATCGGATTGTCCCGCAGCGTCGCGGAGGACTATTGATAGACGGTGCACGGGGCTTATCGGGCTCCTTTGAGGACGGGGGCTTCTGCTGTTCGACGGGGCTAAGCGCCGAGTAGTAGTCCCGCGGATAACTCGATAGCCGTAGATAGGGCGGCATTAGGCCGGCGGGTGCGCGCGCACCGGCGTCGCGAGCGGAGGGCCTCAAACCGCGCACGGGAGGCGAGCCGCTCGCCCGCGTCCGTCGTCGCGCGAAAGCCCAAGCCGACGGTACGGCCCCGGCCGACCAGCGAACGCGAGCCCCGTCGCCGCCGAGCCGCCCCAGCGCTAGGGCTCACCGCCCGCGCCCCCGATAGTACGTGTTTACCGTGCCCGCTTCGGGCGCCGCGCTCCCGTGTCGAGTGTCTCCCTGGACTGACTAAATGATCTCGTTTTTAGACGGTCGCGTGTAACGAAAGAATTGATTCGCCGATAGCCGATGGTCAGCGTGTAATCGCGTCGAGGAACTCGCAAGCGGCACGTCCTGTTTCGGACCCGTATGACGTCACGCTAATAACTCGTAAAAAACGCTCGAGCAACACGTAAGGAAATGAACAAGTGAAATAATGATATATTTTTTTCGTGATGACGTTTTCATGTTTTTCACAAACACTTTTGTTATTTCTCGCGTCCATATTCCGTTCTTCGAAATTTGCTTGTGTTTTATATTTTACCATTCACACTGTTACATTGACAATCTACTTTAATTTTTCTTAAATTTATCGAATAACTATTGGACGGTGTAAAGAAGGAAAAATTGAAACGTTACTATGAAAAGCTCCGTCAAAGCTTCATTCAGATGTGAAATTTCAAAGGCGGAACGTAACACGCGCGTGTAAAATTTCAATAGATCTAAATTAAATGTGAATCGTTTGCACTCATTTGATTCTCAATCGCCGTTCGAATGTAAATATTTCTTCGATATCCAGAATTAAATGGAGGGTCGTTAATTTCGACCAATTACATACTTGAGCCATTTATTAGTAAGCTCGGCCCAATTGCTTTCTACCGTCGCTACTAAACGTCCGTAGAAGACAGTAATGACCTCCGCAATCATCGAATTAATGACAACCGTCTGTAATAACGGTCAGTTAATTATTAAATAGATTAAAAAATTATACTCAGCCCTTTCGAGTGGTGTATTATACTTTAAGAGCAATTTCTCTTTGATCTGCAAACTTAGTACCTTTCTATTCTTTTTTCATTCCGTTTATTGATTTTGTTAAATAACCGATCAAAGAAATGTGTGATCAACTTAAAATAATCATCTTTCTTTTTACTAGCTAAATTAATAGTTAAATTATTTTAGTATGGCCACAAGTAATTTTGCCACAATTACTTGTGGCCATTATACTTAAAATAATTACTTAAATACCAATATACTTAAAATATACTTAAAATAATATATTTAAAATAATTTAGATATAAAATAATTTAGAATCAGGATAATATTTCTATGATTTTTAACAAGGATGATATGGAGTTTATTATATTTCGTTCAGTTACTAAGGAAAACTGTACTGTGCTTTTCTGTTTAATGTAATTAATCAAATCTCCATTTCATTTAATTGGGTTTTTAGACACTTATGAATCTTACTAAGACGTAGTCTATAATAAAAATATTTTCGTCACAGTATAACCTTAACTTTGAGATTATATCTACTATACGTATTAGTGAATTACGGAAAATATATGATAAGCATGTATTAATATTTTATATACACAATCCTCTGAAAATGGTTCTAAACTAACATTTATCTAAACTTATTTGTGTTACACCACTTGTGTAGTTGGCCCTAGATTTTTTTTTTTTTTGGGCTGGATGAGCCACTGTTGGCCTTAGTGGCCTTTACACATCCGACGGACTTGAGGTGGCCTGGCGCACGAGGCGCCTAGCCTGAACCTCGGCGTACTATTATTACGCGTTATGGTGACTAAGCTCGAGGGCTCCCGGGGGAGCCTCGGCTCGGGCCGTCACGCTATTATTGTTACCGGTTTGGGAGGCCGCCAAGCTCTTCGGGCGCTTTGGCGGGGGCTCCATGGAGTGATCAGGCTCAAGGGTCCCCGAGAGAGGACCTCGGCTTGGGCTGTCACTCAGCACGCGTTTAGCATTCCGATTCGAGGGTGCCCGAGAGGGCCGGACCTCGGCTCGATCGGTAGCTATTATCTGACTGGTGGCCCTAGAACATACGAAATATAATTCATGATAAAAATATGAAAGCACATTTGTGCAAAAGCAAATAGCATATATGTGCTTTCATATTTTTATCATGAATTATTCTATTTGATTTTTATATTGCTGACTCAGCAAACGTGTATTGCCATATAAATTATTTCTATGGAATTTGTGAATCTGGACACATAGAAAAAGTATTCGGAACACACACATAAAATATTCGGCAGGTGTGCTATTTCGGTTTTTCAATACAATTTTTCCATAATTTTTTATCGTTTAAGCCTTCCCTGGACTGCCACAAATATTTCAAAATCTAAATGAGCCAACTCGGTCCTGTCGTTCTCGAGTTTTAGCGAGACCAACGAACAGTAATTCATTTTTATATATATTCTGATATTTATCGGTCTAAAACCTTCAAAAGCCATTCTCTTTAACACGCCAGTAGATTTTTGACAGTTTCCCATCCACACTTAATTAGCTCTTTAATTAAACTTTTAACGAATCCTAATTTTTCAAACGTTGTTTTTCTCATATAAAAACTTTGTAAATGAGTTTTTGAATAAGTGTGAAAGCAATTTTATGATTTTAATTTCTTTCGCGCTTGTATATAAACTAAAAAAAATTGCTTTACAATTCCTTAAGACCATTACGTAACATTTTAACTTAAAAGTAACTTAATGAAAAATAATTTTAATTGCAAAACGATTCGATTATAAAACAAATAATTCTCGTATGAATCTCATAATATTTATATAACGGATGGATTAGCTTTGATTTGTCATTCAAGCAAATCAGTGACATTTATTTACTTTATTGGAGACAAACAGGAACAAAAGACAAAAAATAAATAGAAAATAACATAAATCGCAGATGTTTACAGTTGTTCCATTATTATGGTCTTACAGAGAACAAAATTGGTAGTACATTAACAGAAGACCTTTTATAATTATCGCAAAAAAAACATAGGAAGTCTCGTGGAGACTGCCGACAGAAGTGAGACATAAAACAATATCAAAATTAAAATTGTATAATATTTAATTCTATAATAATAATAATAATAACAATAAAATATCTTTATTCACATAGACGCTTGCGCGTTCTTATGAAACGTCAAAATTTTACAAGAAATTAACACGTTCGTAAGTTACCACCGGTTCGGAAAGCAGTTTCTGTTGAGAAGAAACCGGCAAGAAACTCAACAGTTGCTCTTTTTAAAAAAATCGGTTTACAATATAATAGTACAGGTACAATAGTCTTGTTTTAGCCTACGTGAGTATCAACAGTATTAACCCCACACATTGCCGTCGTCAAGATATTCGGCAATAGAATAATAGGCTTTAGCCATAAGTTTACTTTTAATTTTTCGTTTAAATTCGTCAAGTGGCAGACTTAATATCGACTGTGGGATTTTATTATACATGCGCACACTTTGCCCCATGAACGACCTGTTTACTTTTTGTAGACGAAACAACGGCGTAGTTAGTTTGTCCTTATTTCTAGTATTTAGTTTATGTCTGTCACTATTCTTTAGATAACTATTAATATTATTTTTAACATACAAAAATATTACAATAAATATATTGAGACGCAACAGTGAGTATATTAATCTCTTTAAAAAGGTCTCTGAGTGTATTCCGGGCTCCGATGTTATAGATTGCTCGGACAGCTCTTTTTTGAAGATAAAAGATATATTATAGGCACGCCGAACAATAATAACAGTATTTATATCATATCCATAACTACAAATATATTTTTGCGTATTCCTTTTTTGAAAATAGCTCATGGAAAGCGTTCGGTGACGATGACGTGCGTTCCATGATTTTTGTTCACCCAAAAAGTGCTCAAACCGCCTAAAGAAGTTTTCACTTCGAAAAAGTACAATCTTGAGCTATTGGAGATATAGAAAATAAAACAATTGAAATACACTAGAGAGTAAAATTAATAGACATTAAGTTAGTAGACAAAATATTCTTCTAAAAGTGACGAAGATGAAATGAAGCCGAAGATGGAGTCGAATCCGAGTTGAATCACACATCCACAACCTGAGTCTTTAACGAATGCCAACTTAGGAGTTTTCTTCCTAAATTTAGGAATTTTTAGGGGGTAAATTCAAACCTAAACTTCCCAAACGTTTCTCATTTAAGAGTTTTGGTTTGCATTTAGTGAATTTTAGTGGGTTTTTGAATTGTTTTAGGGTATTTTTTTTTGGTACAGTTGGTCCTGTAGTGACTTTACTAGAATATATATTCTCCCCTCCCATAACGAGCGATCTTGACCCAACCCGCCCCCAATTAAGTAAGACTTGTTCGTGCAATTAAACACTCTGCGTAAATTACTGGAAAATGTCTTGTGCCATCGCCGCTTCGAACACGTGTAAGATCGATCGTGGCAGTGATATTGGGTATATCCAAATAAACGGTAGACATGGCAGTAACGCGTCGGAAAGAGGCTTTCAAATTACGGCAATCGTTGTGATTGATTGGTCTGCTATCTCTTTCCGTATAATACGTTTTATATCATCTGTCACATTCACTTTTAAATATCATTTAATGATGAAAAGCGGAACAATTTTTAAAACCGCGCGGTGTGGACATGTGTCATCTTTATTAAAACATCATTGGATTGTGGCGGACGATACAGCATCACATTCTAATGTGACGTACCTTTGGAAGGCAAACACTTCATACACAATGCGATGTCTGCTTTACATAAATATATGGAAAATACATCGTGCCTTGTCTCGTAAATAACATTTGTGGATAAGAACGCAATCGCATCTAAAAGATAAAAGACTAGAGAAATCGAATTTTGAAATTCGAGCGGTCAAAGACGCCACGCTGGCAGTCAGTTTTCCGCCGCGAATAAAAAAGTAATCTCTCGTATAGTGACGTGACTGGTCACGCCTTACACAAATAAAACGACACGCACATACTGTTTGTTCCCGGCTCGGCCTAATGTCTTCGGCTAATGCGACGGTGGCCCGACAAGAGGACAATTTCCGGGCCCGCCCCTACCTTCCCGCCATTACGCCGTGGAAACAATTCCATAACCATTATAATCATTAATGACACCGCGGCCGCCATCCAGTATCGTCCGTTCACATACATTTCTTTCTGTCGCTATTAACTAGGTTCCGTCGGTCATTGCTGCATCGACCTGTCTGCTATCATAGAATATTCGACCAAGTAACTCGATCAAACTTTAGATGGAAGTCGATTTTTTTTTTTTTTTTTTTTTTGTATTGAGAATACTGTGATGGTGTTAAGATATCACTATGACAATATCATAAAAACGAAATAAAAAGTTGACAACTAATTAAATGTAAAACTTAAGTATTTCGCGATGCGGATTAAGCAACACAGAAAAGTAAAACGCACAGGTGATTTAAAAGAAACGATTCTTTTTTTCACTCGTGACTTTAGAGCATTTTAAAATTGGAATCCGCGTTGACAGATGGAGGGCTTGATGACAAATTAACCGTTAGAAATAGGCGAGACGCTTGGGGGGGAAAAGGAGTAGTAAGAATATCGTCGCGCCTCCGGAACATATTTCGCGCGGAAATTCGTTTTGATTGATGCAGAGCGGTCATCGCTTATAGAACGCTCGAAAGCAGCCGAGGCATCGCCCGTCGGATGTGATATAACGGAAAGCGTTTGATCTTATATTTCTTCATTGGCAAATTGCTAGTGAACTCGGGGAGTTATTTATTAGGTTTGTTTGTGGAGTTATTTAGGGACGCCGACCGCTCTAATGCGCGATGCTATGTGGCGATAAAAGTAAATCGACGGCGCGCGTTCGGAATCTAATCAGTATTCAAAATAACAGAACTGCACTCCTTAATGTATTTTAAAAAAATACATTTTTAACGAATCGATTCATCATCAACATTTCGATCATTCTTAACGATTAAGAACATTTATGCGTAAAACGGCAGAAACATATCAAGGAAAAAAAATTGTTGTTATTACTTTTTAGGCGATTAATTTTAAATGTTTGTACGATTTTATATATTTAAAAAGAACCAACCGATTTTATATTTACCTTCTGTAGATTTATGTAATAGGAAGATCGTATCGCCGTCTCATAAAGCTAACAGACAAATAAGCGTACATAAATAAAATCAATATACATATTAAATATCATGGAATTCAACAGCATTCCAATAACAAACAATGGCCGTCGAACGGCACAGAGGCATCGTAAAATTGCATACCTCTGCTACAGCCGTGGCGTAATGACTTCATTACTATTCGCAATCGGTCGATGCCAAAAGGGCGGTTCGCAATGGTGAACGAATGAGATTCACCGGCGATCGCTCCCACGGCTATTACGCTGGCAAATCATACACACGGACTTACACGGACACAACTGTGGTAGGGCCTTGGCTGTTGCACGAATGGGCAGGCTCGTCAGGGTAAGTACACGATTTCACATAAGACCGACGTTAGGTGAAAGTGTGACAAATACCTTCGCGTTTCGTCTGGCGAGTGAGGTAGCCGGGGCCCAATTTTCAAAAGGTTGTCAACGCATCTGCAACCCTCGGGTGCAGCATTGTCCATGGGCGGCGGTATACACTTAACATCAGGTGACCCACCTGCTTGCTTGTCAACTTTTCCCAAAAAAAAAAAAAACATGGAATGAGGTGAAACGCTGGCCGGGCGGCTGATTATCCGCCGGCGCGCCATCCCGCGGCGGGGAAGCCCCCCATTAAACTGCGCATAATTGCCCCACCACCGCCGCTAGTGTCCTCAGCGCATTAATTACACGCGAAAACTTAATGCACGTGATGCGAATTCCCGCCAACTAACGCGGGCAAAAATTGTCACGTCGGCGTCGCCTCAGCGGACCGCGCGTCGCCTCCGGCACTCGACCGACTTTAATTGTCCCGCCATTCGCGTGTAATGCGGGTTTTAATTAAAACCGCGGGTATCGGAACGGGTCGCGTTCGCTCTGTATTTTTTTTTTTTTAAAAACAACTCATTCTCACCGTTTTATTCATAAAAGTGTGAGTGTGTTTCGTGGACTAACTTCCCGAAGCTTGGTCTTAGTACAGCCATGGATAAGAGTAGAATAAGAAACTTTCAAGCTTACCACAGCACGGCTTAAGATTGGCATTAAGACATCAAATACTTAAGTACTTCACAAGACCTAGAATGGGATTAAGAACTCAAAACATCGTATTTAACATCAAATCCGAAATCGTCGTTTAAAAAAAGATAGCTTAGAAAAAACAGGTAAGACTCCCATAAGAAAAAACTAGGTTATACAATATGTTCACTTTAAGATTTTATGTAAAAATCGTGGTTGCCGCATATTGATTATTTATTGATTATACACTTCTCATATACAATTCGATTTTATTTATGCCTTTGTTACATCAAGAAATTCGCTGGAAATGAATAATATTCAATTTTATTTATGCATCAAAAATTCACTCACGCATCTGCCACTGACCGACGCGTTAACACACACGGGTTTCTGCAGAATACCAGCGCTGATCATCCCAATGGGGGTGTCAGCTTATGCTGAGCAGCTGACCCTATCAACTCAGCATTGCAACGCTCACATTTTCTGCACATAGTTTATATTTTTTCTTTGAATATTATAGTTTTTCTTCTTTTTTTGTTTTTCACTAATATTAATTATACTTGTTTATTTTTTTTTCTACATATGTACATGTCGATTGTTTATTTTTTGCCAGTGTTGTTTGTTGAGCTGATTAAATGGTTTATTATTATTATTATTTATTATTATTATAAATTAAATGCTATTAAATCCGTAAATATATAATTATAAAACTAAACTCTTAGTAACTTACTTTCCATACTAACTTGTGAGAAATTAATGTCTCATCTCGTGAATTATCGATCCGTGTTTAGAGCTTTCCTCATCGTGGTGGTGCACGCACGAGGTGGCCCCTTTTTTAAACTGCAGCCGCGTCTTGGAGTGTTTCAACACTCGTCTCCCCGAGGCATCTATTAAGACAGACAGGAATCGTTTCCCACAGCCCGCTCGCGGCTCGTCACGGAATCAATATCGTCTTTTATCTCGTGAAACGCGCTCCGCACGCACACGCACGCGGCGGCGTCACGTACGCGCGTCGACGCACACGTACGCGCGTCGACGCACACATGTGCGTTGAGACGCACAACGGCGCGACGACCACCTAGGGCTGCCAACGCGGGAATAACGAACAAACACAAAGGGAGATGGCGATAATTAATCCGAATCTCTTCGAAACAGCACGTGCCTGTTCGCACGGCCCCCGAAACCGGAGGCGTTTAATTAACGTCTGCCATAAAATTTGACGCGAACACTTCGCGCAGTGGATTCCCTAAATCGGCGCTTTCAATTCACTGTCACTTTCCGACAGAATGGGAGGCCGGTCGTAATTCGAGGGCGCATTTCTTACGTTCCATCATCGGAGCCGCGAACGCAGATGTCGAATGTGAGAAGATTCATTGACGCCGCCGTTTCCTCCGTATCGTAGGTGCAGCGACGAAATCGGAGCGTTTGCGCCAATTAAAATAGCTGAGTGATTTTTTGTGTGACGCAGTCGGCTGACGGCGGTCGGGATTTATTTGGGACGCGGCGATTAATTGTGTTCTCGCCGAGAAGTGCACAGTTAACGCCGGCGTTAGCACTCGAGCAACGTATTTATTGCCGAGTAAACGCTCTCTTGATCCGAACTACAAAGCGCTTGTAATTTAAACAGTGCCGCGTTAATTGTTGTGTTATTGCATCGCATTGTTTGAGTGACGCGGCGCTGTGCGGGATTGTTTACAACGAATAAGGAGGTCTATTTTTAACCGGATCCCGTGAGACTGCGCGATACGCGTACGAACGGATTTAAGAATGAATTAGCCGCCGCTCGTTCAATCCGTTTTATTCCAACCGTTTAGAGCTGGAATCAGAGATTTTTATCGATGTTCTTACAGATAAATGACTTTGAATGTCTCTCGTCTTAAACAAGTACATTTTTATTAACACAAACTAAAACGTCTTCAAATATCTCACTCACTGTATATTTTCCACTCGGTTTTGAGGAGTTCCCTGGTGTATCTTCGGAGCCCAATATCCAATTCCAATGAAATTAATTTGGGACCACATAGAAGATTTACCGAACCCAGTACAAAAAGAATTTTCCAAATCGGTTCAGGTGTCTTCGAGTAATCGGTGAACATAAAAAAAAAAGATTTCAACGAATTAGCTTACTTATCTTCCTTTTTTGAGGTCGGTTAAAAAGAAACGCGCGGCAGAATATCACACTTTCGCGTGACGTAACATCGCAATGTTGCGAGGCACATCTCGGAATGGTTAAGGATTGCGATGGCATTTCTCGATTAGCGGTATACCTGCGCAAGTTCAGGTGCAAGAAAAGACCCCATCTATCAGACCGCTAAGAAATACGTCACTAAACGTCTCCACCATGGGAAAGATCGCACGCGATGCGGTACTCTTCCCAGTTGCCTTATACGTACGGACGACAATTGCTTGAGCCATAAACATACATTGCCACTCTCATATCTATCGGCCGGTTGTTATTCAGCCTTTATTGCTTTCCATCTAAATAATACAAGGCTCAGGATGTTGTTGCGGATAAAAGATAAATCTTAATAAGGTGAAATTCATGCCGTATCTCATTTTGCTCCGAGAAGACTTCCCTGACGATCCGATCCTACTCGATTGCTTTAATCTCTTATTGATCTTTGCCACTCTGCAATAAATAATCCTTAACGCGACGTAACATGACGCCTTTAGCTAAGTTCTATTCAATTTTAAGACGGGTATTAAAGTATTTCCGTTTACAATGGAAAATACCTTTGAATAAATTACATTCTATGTTTAGTTTTCAATTTAATTGGAGCCTACCTAGTCTCTGATCCTTATGAAATCTTAAAACACGTAAAACATCTCTCTATATTTAAACCTTGAAATCCAAAACGTGAAAAATTACTGTTCATGTAATTGTTTATACATAAGGCTATTACTTACGAATCAAGAATGCGCAAGAGGCTCATCCACAATCAATGACGATATAGCAACACCTCAAAGCAGCCAATTTGCGTTCGAACCTGGCAATTTTCTATATTGCCCACGCGGGGCAATCACGGCACACACTTAATCGAAACGAAAAGTTCATGATTCGAACTCGGGCCACGATGCGTCTCCGATCACGCGATGAACTCTTTTTCATTTATCTGTTTTGCACATCTTCAATATAAGTGCCGAATCACCTCGTGGCCGAAGGGCCGTGAGAAAACATCATTACGAAGGCATGTGAACCTTGCCTTAATAGCTGTGCCTACAACTAGCAGCGAGACGGAAGTTATAAACCAGTCAATTGGTGATTTACTAGTTTATAACTTAAATATAAAAAAGAAATATACTAGTGCTGCCATAGCTGCTGCTAATTCGCCACTCAGTGGCAGGCTAAAGGATTTTTCTATTGCGTGAATGGACCACTCCGAGAGGACAAATATTACGCGCTCACTGATAAAAGTAATCATACTTTAGCTTTTCGTCCGTTAAGTGAGGTACGCACACTCAATGACCGAAAGGCACTCACAGCCCTTCTGTTTTTGCGTCCACATCAACGGTGACCGCTTATCAGGTGAACCGGTCGTTCATTTTCCGTGTTATTTTTCTGCCGACTTCAAAAAAGGAGGAGGATCTCAATTCGAGTGTATTTTATTTTTATGTTTTTTACCTCAGAACTTTCGACTAAGTGAATCGATTTTGATGATTCTTTTTTTATTTATGTAATTATGATGACTCCGTGGCGCAGTTGCCAAGGTGTTGGCTTCGGCGTCGAAGGTCGTGGGTTCGATTCCCACACGGGACAACTATTTGTGCGACCCACAGATAGTTGTTTCGCATCTGGGTGTTTGTCCTCGTGCAATTTATGTTTGTAAAACGTCCTTGCAACACACGATAATGTTATCCTAAAGTGAGGGCAATGTTAAAAAATAAAAGAAAAAAAAATTAAAAAAAATTAAAACTGGTGCTTCCCGTGTGGCCCCATGTTGATTTCATTGGTATTGGATCTTGGGCTCCGGAGATACTTAGGAAACTCCTGAAAATCAATTATAAAATAAATACAAAGAGAGATATTTGAAGTCGGTTTTGTTTTGCGATAATAAAAATATGGACATGTAAAAGAGCACAATTCATATAATTCGAAGCGATGTGATTTGGATGACGAGAAGGCTCTATCGCTACGCGATTTTTCTGATAGAACACAAAGCTCCGTCACACGAGCGCGAGGTTTAAACTTTGTAATGTTTGTCAAAACATATTTAAATCTGTCGGTAGGTGCCTAAATCAATTTATTATACAGGTGCTCCGAGACACTTCGGTAACGCGTGGTTACGCGCGTATATATGTAAATCTTGTGTTCGTCGCGACCCCAAAAAAGGCCGGGGCGTATGGAAAACTGTAAGCCTTTTTTTATATTCCTACTCCTTATCCTTACGGGATAATTCGAGGCTGTAGGACGGGGTTTTTGCATAATTCGCCGCCACCCTTCACTATGGGAGGCACGTTTTGCGAATACTCGCGTCTCATCGCGCATATTTCTCGGTCATAGGAACGGACTGGGCCATTCTTGTTCGTTTTTTCGCCTCGTAAATTAACTTATGTAGCTATGTGCGTTGATGTATCCATGCAAAGATGTGCGCGATTCTATATAACTTACAACTTACGCAATTTAAAAGGTATGCGCGGTGTAGGTATCTATGTTTAGGGAGCGAAAGAAGTGTTTAAAAGTTCAGCAAACAGTAATGCCATCCTAAATTCTTATATTTGCCAACCTTTATAAGAACGCGAGTGTTTATGTCTTTATCGCTTCGTAAATTAAACTACTCAAGCGAAATTCACGAGGTGTACATGTATCGTTGTGCAAGTGGCGATGGGGTATTCCCCTACATCCTTTTAAACCTTTTTAGGAGAGAACCCTATACTCTACATTTTAATTTCTACCTTTCTGGGTGACAGCTGTGTGTTTCCAGTTAAACGGATATAGTGTCGTACCAGGCGAGTTTTGAAAGCTTATTAGGGGAATAGGGCAATAGGTGAGCGCGTACGTCGCGAACAAATACGCGAGCGCAATTGTTTCACATGCAAAGGGCCGGGACGAAGCCATCGCTCGGGGGAGATGAGGACTGATGCGCAATTCACCCGCATTGCATAAAACGCACACACACAGCCCACAACAGTAGTGTTGTTCGCCGTACGTTTCTTGCTAACCCGAATGTCGAACGCTCCATTTCAATACAAAGAGCTTATTGTTCCCGATTTACACTGGTCAATTGTTTAGTACAGTAGACAAGTACAGTGTAAATCGTTGGACAGTGGCGAGTCAACTTGCATCTCGCCTCTGTCCGAAACACTCGACAATGTTAAATCGGGCTTTAGGCAGCCAACTGCTAATAAGTATTTTACGTACGACACAGCGAAGTGTAGATCTCCGCACAGTTAACTATAATTATGTAATCAAAGCAAATATTTTTAACAACGGATAGCGCAATAGTTGACTGGCTTTGAATCGATTCGTTCCTCGCACAGGACAAACATTTGCGAGACCCAAAAACACTTGATCTCGATCAGGGTGCACTTTTTTATGTGAGAAGGTGGTAAGCGAGCTGTCGGTTCCCTAGTGTTAAGTGATAACCACCGCCCTTAGTCATTTACAACACGCGTAGGGTTGCAGATGCTTTGCTGCCTTATAGTAGAGGGGACCCCGGCTACATTACTCACGAGAAACGAAACGCAGAAGTAACACCTCCACTTCACGGTCTTCTGTGAGATCGTGGTACTTCCCCGGAACACCTTCGTGTTACACTGAAGACTGTTGCATTCCACAGTAACAACATTTTCTTACTTCGCACGTTATTTCGCGTGTGCGACACAAGAACTCTTCAATATAATCACCACGTCTGTTACACTGATCCTCTATTAACGGCCGCTTGGAAGATTATTCAAGGATCTGATTTAAAAAAAAAACTCCATTCACACCTCGCAAACACGCTGTTCGATATTCGAAAATCCGAGCGCACGGGCGGGGCGCGTCGCGGTACGGTTGCGTCACTTCTGTTCTATTACTTGCGCCGCGTTCCTTTCGTGTGCTTTTGCGTTTTTTGCCGCGCTTACGGCTCGGCGGGCTTTCGACTTTCGTGGCACCTCAGGCTCGGCGCGGGCGCAAAAACACAAAGGGTCGCTAAGCTCCGTAGTCCGTCTCCTCTCCGTCGTCAGTCGCGCGCGTGATCGCGAGGAGATAGGACGCGGGGTCGGCGCGGTCGCTTAGCAACGTGCAACGCTTCCATTCCAGATCGAAAGCGAGTCCGACATGACGCTAGGGGCCGTTTAGACCCATCCGAATGGACGGAGAAGTGCCGTGTTATAATGTAAGTGCAGTGGACGCGGTATGTGTGTGATGTCGACCAGCTCGGGAATCTAGTAGTGCGGTGGCTTGAGGGACTGGTGCGGAAGATGACGATGAAATCGCTGAAGTACAGCGAGAGGGAGGACATGATGGAGGGCTTCAGCCCGGTGCCACCACCGCTGCCAAGGCGTCAGCCCGTGAGGAATATCTACGCGGAGCCGTTCGTGGACCCTAGGTAAGTTGGACACCGTGTACAGAAAAGTAATTGGACTCTACGCTAGCCTTTCCAATTTTCGTTCGCTTGTTATATGTGTATATACATACTATCGAACCAGACAGACGTCCTGCACATACGTCTTAAATGGGACAACAACTTATAATGTATAAATAAAAGAGTAATTTAAGAAAACATTTAGTAGTGGACCGAAACGTATTGCCATTGGCCATTCTCGAATACACTTGAGCACACACAAAAAATATCATCAAAATCGGTCCGGCCGTTTGAGTTCAGTAACATACGCACAGAAGAATTAAATTATGAAATTGCAAAGAATAAATTCTTAATTATGATGGCATAATATAATTTCATTCATTTTAAAATATTAAAAAACTCTCAGTTTTTCAACACTATTGGAATAGACTGTTACATAGTATCAGTGTAACACATAGTTGTGACTTTTCGATCAGCATAGTACCGCATCACACGTTTTGGCCTCTCCCCGATTACATTAAACGGTTAATTCTATGTTTAAGATATTCTAACAATGGTGTAATAATGCTTTTTTAAAACACCGCACAAAGCGTTTTAGCTCTGGATAACCTATAAGGGCGCGGCTGTTTACACATCCCGATAACAGCGACATAAATTATTGAAATCCGAAAAAAATAGAGAGAACATTAGGCAGCGGCGAGATAAAGCTTGTAAGAGTCATCGTTAAGCCATTCACGCAATAAATAACCGGAGCTTTTGATAAAAACGTCGGCATCCGAGGCCCGGCGGGGAACAAACGCGTCCTTTGGAAACGCGATGCATGGCCAGCCAGCAATTTCGGCTCCGAAATGGACGAAGTATTGCATACTCACAGACACTAAACTATTCAGCGGTGTTTGTGTAAAAGAAACAAAGCTAGAGTCGAATACTTTCGCGGTCTCAGCGTCGAATCGTGTATCGCACAGTCATCACTACATAGTAGAAACAAAGTCGTCCCACTGTCTGTCTGTCCCTATATATGCTTAGATCTTAAAAACTACGCAACAGATTTTGATGTGGTTTTCTTTTATAGATAGAGTGATTCAAGAGGAAGGTTTATGTGTTTAATTAATGCATAATATTATAGAGAAACACTGATAATTTTAGATGTTTCTAATGCGATGTCAAAAGCAAACATTCAGCATTGCACCCGTGCGAAGTCGAGGCGGGGGTCGCTAGTAACGCAATAAATCGAAAAACATTCTCCAAAAATATCGAAATACACCACGGGTAAAAGTGGATAGCTTAAAGTATAACCTATTCAGACTTATTCATAATCGGCCGTGATTTTCTGAAATTTGTTCGCGTTCAAACGGGCATTGTACTCTACATCGATGTCGTCAAATGAGCCGGCGCTTGTTTACTTTCGCGACCCCAAGCTTGTCCGCCCTCCGACTAGCACAACGGCGCTCTCCCAAGCAATAATAAAGTGCCCGAAGCCAGAAAACATCATATGCCGTGAGGCTATTGTAAACACAGACGGGCCAGAAACCCCGCAAACCTCCAAAGACCATCCAACGTTATTAAACTAACTTTCAGAACTAATTTCACAGACCTTGTCGGGGCTCTTCTTGAAACCAAACAGTAGTTATTAAAATAAGCGTCCACTGTGACTACACAATGGAACAATATAATTGTTTTGTATATAATAGTATTGGAAAAAGCACCCAAATTAATATTTAAATATATTATAAATTAATAACAACTTTGGTATTAACAAGATAAATTAAATGTAGTTGCCATTAAAAAACATCATGAAATGACGAAAACTTGAACATTTATTTAAGTGCCGTGTACACACGACTTGTATCATTAAACAATATAGAAGAAAACTTGCTCCATTTTTTCTCGCATACATGTTTGCATACGTATTATTCAATGGTTTTCTGTAGAGGATGACACAGCGTGTTTGTTTGATTGAAGCCTTTAGCATTATGCATCGTTAAGTAAGGAGGTTTCAAATTTGTTAGGTATTAAATAACAAGATACATCATAGTCAGTGACCGTACTAATTAAGAAACTGTTTTCATATTTGGTTGCCACTAATAGTATATTTTCGCTGTTTTTCTCGCTTTTACTTTTTAGATGATATAAGTAAAACGTATATTATTCATGCTTAAGTTTTTTTGGCATACTTATATTCATGAAGAGTGCCTGTTATGTGCACTGTTGAATGCATTGATTTGAATTGTTTGAACCTTATTTTTTTAGTTTCCTATCGGTTGCTTTTGATATCGGTAGATTTTTTTTTTTTTTTTATGTGAAAAGTTGCCAAACGAGCAGACGGTTCACCTGATGGTAAGTGAATACCGCCGCCCATGGACATCTGCTACACCCGAGGGTTACAGATGCGTTGACAACCTTTTGAAGATTGAGCTCCGGTTACCTCACTCACCAGACGAAACGCGAAAGTATTTGTTATACTTCCACTTTACGCCGGTCTTCTGTGAGGTCGTGGTACTTACCCGAATGGGCCTGCCCATTCGTGCAACAGCCGAGGCTGCCGCGTGGCCCTACCACCGTTAAGATATGTTGTTAGTGGTAGGTATTCTCAACCAAATTCCACTGATTCTATACCATTCGACCATACCGAGGCGTAGCGGACGTGCGGTTCTGTACGGTCGGGCGTAAATCATATTTTTACACTTCGCCCGGCCAAGGCCCGCGGCGTGCACAGCAGTTATGGCCATCTGCGACACCCCAATTGCCGCTCAGTTTAATTTGGACAGACACTGAGGGCGGATCCCCGCTATTAATGAGGGAGAAACCAATGCAAAATATCCACTTTATTGACGAAAGAACACATTGTACTATTATGATTCGCGATTTTTGATGCCTCATTTCTTCCGAGTTCTTCTTAGCTATAATTGTTTTTTTGATTGTTTCTTACATTCTTTACCTATCTTTGGTATATATATATTCATTTTCAAATTATTAATAGACTAATAAGTTCAAGTGAGATTAGCAACAGTGACTATATGCTGTAACCGATGATCACTCAATAGCGTTACGATGATAAGACCATTGGAGAGACGCAATACATACGGTATCCGTTAATATAACTTTACCGGTGATACATGGATAAAACTCCGTGATATTATGACTACTACATTACTTTAAATGCTCGTGACTGTACTTCAAATAGTAGTAAAATAAGATGCACCGCACCGCCCCATTTATGTAATGACAGCAATCCGACAGGCAATCGCGATGATCGATAACGGAAACAATGTTTGACGGCGTAGTACGAGTCGTACAAAGGGCGTAATTTCCTCTACGACGTGCTAACAAGGCGCGAAAGTCGCCTGCACACAGACGTGACGGTTAAGTGCACGCAACAATAGGTGAAAGATAGCATCGGACGCTACACAGTGTGGTGCGCCTCACCGCTCGGGAAACCTTTCAAATCGCATCGCCGTCTTTATCGTGTCCTCATTCGAAGTCTGTACACCCCAATAAACTTTCTACGGTACTTACAGTCGACGTTATGACTCCGTGGCAAAGTTGCCAA